CTATTGCTGGACAGTGACAAGAGATGCTCCATTTAATGAATACAAGAGACAAGCCAAGAAGCGCCGAGTAGACACTGAATAGGACTAAACTATGTACAGAATAGTTTTTTGCCTTTTGTTTCATAATAAATTTTATTTATATAACCCTTTTGCTGATTTTTGAAGTGTTACATGAACAGGACAGGTGAAATATTATCAAGCAAAGCAACCATAAACACATGAGAAGACCTAGGTTTACAATTTATGATTAAAACTCTACTATCTACACAATATACATAGACATAAAATGTAAAAACTTAAATATCTTAGAAACAGTAGCCAATCAGTTGTTTTAATTGTCATATTTGAATTCAGCACATCAAAATACATAATAAATAGCACATTTTATCTCTGAAGCAGACGACTTCTCAAAAATTGTAGACCAGTGTACAGGAATACGAGGAGTATTCTTTGCAAACATCTGGTTAAATGAAGCATGAGTCTATGCAACAGAAGCAATTGCTTTCACAAAACAGGATTTTGTTGCAGTTGGCCAGTTTGTCTGTGCCATAACCAAAAGGTCATAATTCAGAATTAAAAAGGCACAAGAAAGCAGTTAAGTATCAGGAAAGTAGGCCAAGAGTCAAGCTCTGTTCTGCCACAACATCTGTTCCATCTTTATGCTGAAATGGAAATGTGTAGTGTTCTGAACAGAGTGTGTTAATGGGAGAGAACAGACGTCGTAATATCAGGTATGCTAATGAAGTTGTTTTCAGTGCAAGGAGGACACTTCAAAAGTGTCTGAAGCTAGGGTTGATTTAGAGCAAGATATGAATATCATAATCAATAGGGATGATGATATTTACAGTGTAGATCAGTACGTTGCTACAAACTGGAAATGAAGGAACCAAACAAGTAAAGGTGCCCATGTATGATGGACTTGAAAGCTATCAGTTTTAATAGATGAAAATATCAATAGTAGTCAATAAACTGATTTTACAGATAGGGAAAATGTCTTTAAAAAATGCAAATATGTCCTGAGTCCTAGCGAGAAAGAGAGAATGTGTCTGCATCCAGGCCGTGTCCAAATCCTGCCACTCCTTCCTACTCAATCTCTCTAAAACCCATCCTTTTATTCTCTCAGCCAAATCAATCATTGAGGCCCTCATTGTATCCTACCTCAACCACGGCCACAACCTCCTCTCTGGTTTCCTCTGTACAGTTATTGGCTCCCAGTCCCTTTAGTCCATAACAAAAACACAGCGTTCGAAGCTCTTGTGATTTTATTACAAGTCTCACATCATTTGGTGGTTTAAAGCCCCAGCTCCTAGAGTTATGTAATTATGGGAGAGTCTCCGCTTTCATTTAAAAAAAAGTTTCCAGATCTTGTGGTTGCAGAGAAAAGCGGAAAAACTTGACCCTAAAGACTCAAAAAGCAAGACAAATAAAAAAAACCAAAAATAATTTGATAAAATTTGAAAATCTCATGATTTATGGGGCCTGACTAATGAATTTTGAATGCTGGGGTTGGCAAGACTGAATGTAGTCATTAATGTCACCTTCCCTGATTGCCATTTTGATCATATCACTCCCCTACTCAAATCCCCCCATTGGCTGCTCATCTACTATTGCTTCAGATTCAAACTGCTTGTGATCACCTTCCATACTGTATATCAGCCTTTCTCAACCTTTCTGATATCAGGGACTGGCTTGCTGCCTTCCTTAACTGCGTTAGGGAGAACTCGTGGACCTGCGTTAGGGAGATCTCGTGGACTGGCGCCAGTCCACAGACCGGCCATTGAGAAACATTGCATATAACTTTGCCTCTCCCTACTTATCTTCCCTTGTTCAGCTTCACACCATTCCCACCCCATCCACACTGCTTTGCCTGAACTTTCCGTTTGTCAGCTTTTAAAATAACTGCTTCCATGCCTTCTTCCACATGGCCCGTAATGCATGGTATGGCATCCCTGTGTCTGTGAGTGTTCCCTATGGTTCTAGCAAAATAGTCAGTGTCATAGCATGCTTGATAAGAACATAAGAAAGGCCATACTGGGCCAGACCAATAGTCCATCTAGCTCAGTATCCTGTCTTCTGACAGAGGTCGGTGCCAGATACATCAGAAGGAATGAACAGAACAGGGCAATTATCGAGTGATCTATCCCTTATCATCCAATTGCCAGAAGCTTAGGAATACCCAGAGCATGGAACTGCATCCCTGACCATGTTGGCTAATATCCATTGATGGAGCTATCCTCCAGGAACTTAGCGAATTCTTTTTGAACCCAGTTATACTTTTGGCCTTCACAACATCCCCTGGCAACGAGTTCCAGAGATTGGCTGTGCATTGTGTGCAGAAGTACTTCCTTTTGTTTGTTTTAAACCTGCTGCCTATTAATTTCATCAGGTGACCCCTTGTGTTATATGAAGGGGTAAATAACACTTCCCTACTCATTTTCTCTACACAATTCTTGGTTTTATAGCCCTCTATCATATCCCCTCTCAGTCATCTCTTTTCCAAGCTGAATAGTCTCGCTCTTTTTAATCTCTCTTTATATGGAAGCTGTTCCATCCCCCTTATCACTTTTGTTGCCCTTCTCTGTACTTTTTCCAGTTCTAATATATATTTTTTGAGATGGGGCAACCAGAACAGCATGCAGTATTCAAGGTATGAGCGTGCCATGGAATTATATAGTGGAATTATGATATTTACTGTCTTATTATCTATCCCATTCCTAACAGTTCCTAACATTAGCTTTTTTGACTGCTGCTGCACATTGAGCAGATGTTCACATTTCAGGAAAGAAATGGACAAATTGGAGAAAGTTCAGAGAAGAGCAACAAAAATTATTAGAGGTCTAGAAAACATGACCTATGAGGGAAGATTGAAAAAACTGGGTTTGTTTAGTCTGGAAAAGAGAAGACTGAGAGGGACATTAAAACAGTTTTCAAGTACATAAAAGGTTGTTACAAGGAGGAGGGAGAAGAATTGTTCTTCTTAACCTCAGAGGATAGGGCAAGAAGCAATGGGCTTAAATTGCAGCAAGGGAGGTTTAGATTGGACATTAGGAAAAACTTCCTAACTGTCAGGGTGGTTAAGCACTGGAATAAATTGCCTAGGGAGGTTGTGGAATCTCCATCTAGGGTGACCAGAGAGCAAATATGAAAAATCGGGACAGGGGCTGGGGGGTAATAGGAGCCTATATAAGAAAAAGACCCAAAAATCGGGACCGTCCCTATAAAATCAGGACATCTGGTCACCCTATCTCCATCATTGGAGATTTTTAAGAGCAGGTTAGACAAATACCTGTCAGGAATGGTCTAGATAATACTTAGTCCTGCCATGAGTGCAGGGGATTGGACTAGATGACCTCTTGAGGTTCCTTCCAATTCAATGATTCTATGACTCCAAGATCTCTTTCTTGAGTGGTAACAGCTAATTTAGACCCCATCATTTTGTATGTATAGTTGGGATTAAGTTTGCCAATGTGCATTACTTTGCATTTATCAACATTGAATTTTATCTGCCATTTTGTTGCCCAGTCACCCAGTTTTGTGAGATCCATTTGTAACTCTTTACAGTCTGCTTTGGACTTAATTATCTTGAGTAATTTTGTATCGTCTGCAAACTTTGCCACCTCACTGTTTACCCCTTTTTCCAGAGCATTTATGAGTATGTTAAACAGCACTGGTCTCAGTACAGATTCTTGGGGAGCCCCGCTATTTACCTCTCTCCACTGTGAAAACTGACCATTTATTCCTACCCTTTGTTTCCTGTTTTTAACCAGTTACTGATCCATGAGAGGACCTTCCCTCTTATCCCATGACTGCCTACTTTGCGTAAGAGCCTTTGGCAAGAGACCTTTTCAATAGCTTTCTGAAAGTCTAAGTGCAGTATATCCACTGGTTCACACTTGTCCACGTTTGTAGACCCCTCAAGGAATTTTAATAGAGAGGTCAAGTATCAGGGGGTAGCCGTGTTAGTCTGTATCTACAAAAACAACAAGGAGTCTGGTGGCACCTTGAGACATGATTTCCCTTTACAAAAGCCATGTTGACTCTTCCCCAACAAATCGTATTCACCTATGTGTGAGATAATTCTGCTCTTTACTATAGTTTCAACCAATTTTCTGCATGCTGAGGTTAGGCTTACTGGCCTGTAATAGCTAGTAGCTGCTCTGAAGCCTTTTTTTAAATCCGATGTCACATTAGAAATATAACAATAAGAACTTATTAAATACTATTATGATCAAATATGATTGTTTCTGACACTACTGTGTATTGCAGCCTCTATTCCCATTGCACTTTGAAAAATGATTATTAAATTTCTTAATGCTTAAATATTAAGTGTATTAAATTTCCTGCCAGTGCAAACATGGAAACTGATCAAAATTAGAGGGAGGGAGGGAGTGGAGTAACCCAGCTAAACAATCATATTATCAGCCTGCATTCATCTGTCAAACATGTCTCTCAGGTAAGGGGCCACACCAAGAGGTTATGGGGCTTTGCCACAGACACCGTGCCAGTGCCACGGGGAGAAAGGGCTGGGCCACAGACTGGGCCACAGGGGACTGCCATTGAGATGTGCCACAGGTGGGAGGGGCCATGCCACAGACTATGCCATGGGGAGGGGGGGGGCGTGCATGTGGACTGTGCCATAGACCGTGCCACGGGGAGGGGGGACCGTGCATGTGGACTGTGCCATAGACCGTGCCACGGGGAGGGGGGACCGTGCATGTGGACTGTGCCATAGACCGTGCCATGGGGAGGGGGGACCGTACCTTAGACGCTGTGTACGTGGTCTGTGCCACGGCGGGGTGGAGCTGTGCCGCCAGGCGGGACCTAAGGCGCCATAGGGAGCCTACGGGCCCATGACAGGCTACAAGCCCCTGAACAGAAGAGTGACGCACGCGCAGAATCTCATTCCCGGCGCAGGGGCTGGCACATGCGTACAACAGCCCAACTGTCCACCCAGTGGGAGCGGCGCATGCGCAGGGCTCCTGACATACGACTCTCAGCGAAGCTGGGGTGGTGCTTTTGCGGCAGTCGTAAGTGAGTGCTCGCGACAGCCGCTGGAGTCGGACTGGAGGGAGCAGGGGGCCTGGCTTTGTCTGTAAGGATGGGGGCCCCTTGGGCCGGAGTGTCCTTGGTGGGGCTGCGATTGGGGCGTCAGGAAGGGGGTTGGAGTTTGGGACGGGGGAGGGGCTGAGGGACGGGGTTGGGGTTTGGGAGGGGCTGAGGGACGGGGGTGGGGGGTTGGAGTTTGGGGGGAGCGTGAGTGGGCAGGGGACCTGCAGAGGAAATGGGTTCCTGGGGGTTCTTGTTCCAGAGTGAAAGGGAGGTGGGTCTCTCTCTCGTGGGCTGCGGGGATGGGGTAACCAGGCAGGGCAGGGGGTGAGTTTCCGGTCAGTTTCAAGCTGACAGTTGGAATGAGGAAGATTTCAACACTCTCATTGAAACTGACAATAAAACAGCTGCTCTGCTGAGGGGTAGGACAAACTGCCTGGAAATTCATCCCTGTGGCTGGGCTGTAGGTCTGGGGGGCAGTTTGGTGTACTGCTGAATTTTAGGGTGATTCTGGTGGTGATCATGTAATGTGTTGGACCCTTTGTTTCTTCTCACAGAACAGCCAGTTCCAACTGTGCCATGCGGCCGCAGCAGGCACCTGTTTCTGGTAAAGTCTTTGTCCAGCGAGACTACAGTAGTGGCACCAGGTGCCAGTTCCAGACCAAGTTCCCCCTGGAGCTGGAGAACAGGGTAAAAGTTTTGTTTTAACTTATCAGGGATTGTGTTAAGGACAGGATCAAGAAAGGCCTGAGCTAGCTGCACGTGGGTGACCAGAGAGCCTACCTGCTATACATTCCTCCTTGCTTCCTGTGCCCGAAGAAGGGAATGTGATAGGATGTGCTCAGAATGAGTCCTTTATCATTTACAGCCAACCATGTATGTGGTGTTTTCCCAATAACTAAGGTGACAGCTTCCTACGTGCTTATGCAGACTACCCCTGTGCACAATTTTTTTATCAGTTTGAGTTGTTAGCTGTGGGGTGGTAGTTAGAGTAGATGATAGGGAGTCAAGACTGATTATTTTTTATTATTATTATTATTTTTCCTACTTCAGTGACTGGTTTACTGTGTAATCTTTGACAAGTCACTTTACTCTCTGTACCTCAGTGCCTAAATCTGTAAAAGCTGTACCTACCTAACTCGGAGTGGTTGAGTCTTAAAGGGACACTACCAGCTTGAAATCTAACCAATTTTATAAGAGTTAAAAGTAGTCTCTAGTACAGGGGTCAGCAGCCTTTCAGAAGTGGTGTGCCGAGTCTTCATTTATTCACTCTGATTTAAGGTTTCATGTGCCAGTAATACATTTTAACGTTTTTAGAAGGTCTCTTTCTATAAGTCTATAATATATAACTAAACTATTGTTGTATGTAAAGTAAATAAGGTTTTTAAAATGTTTAAGAAGCTTCATTTAAAATTATGCAGAGCCCCCCGGTCCGGTGGCCAGGACCCAGGCAATGCGAGTGCCACTGAAAATCCGCTCGCGTGCCATAGGTTGCCTATCCCTGCTCTAGTATAACACCATACCTGAAATCTACTGCCAATTTTTGTGGTTTTACATTTTCTAAAGTGAACTAACTGGTAAAATAGAAGGAAATATCTTTTGCTCTGCTCTCTTTCAGTGACCTTGCTTGATTCAAGTAATCAGAATAGATTTTTTTTTTTTTTTTTTAAATCCAGGCAAAATGGATTCTCCCTTTAATTGTTTTGCTTAAAATTTTAGGATCCTTGAATGAGGCACTCTAGAAGAGTAATGGAGTATTAAATTGGAAGCCATATATTAAAATGAATTTTAATAGTTAATCTTAAACTGCCTTTGTTCAGTGGATGGCGCTGCTTTGTCTCTGTCTCTGAGATGAAACTTTGCCAATACTTCCTCAACCAAGGCCTCTGCTTAGAAGAAACTTGACACCATGGGAAATTAGATTATCAAAGTGGTTGTAAGCTGCATTCTGTCTTTTATTTTCAGTTAATAGGACTATGGTTTAAATAGTACCAAACTAACCACAGATAAAAATGGAGCCTGCCTTCCAACCCACATTAATAATCTGACTTCTTAAATTTACTGTTAGGGAGCTGCATTTGCTGTGGCCTAACCTATGTAGTCTGGCTGTCACAGCAGCAGTTTTCTGATTAGTATTTTTTTAATATGTTTGAACAAAAATATTGATTGGTTCCTCTTTCACTTCCCTGTATGCAAAATGGGGCTAATGGTGCTTATCACCTCAGTGAGGTGCTTTGAGATCTATGAAGGCAAAGTTCTAGGTAAGAGCCAGTTATTTGTTTTTTTGTTTGTGATTTGACTTTTACATTACATGGTACAGGTATCTCTGCTTTAATGCACAGCCCAGTTATTCTTGCTCTTAGTATAAACTGAAATGGATCATTCATTGTTTTCTATTGGATACCATTGCTTTATACCAGGTACTTTCTATAATTTCTATCTATGATTTTAGGGGAGAGGTTTTTGCTCAGATACAAACAAATCCGTAGCGGTAGTACTTAGTCTGCACTGTACAACAGTGTGTTTCTCATGCACAAAGTATGGGAATGCACAATGTCATCTTGGGTGCATTCAGTGTTAATTATTAGAAAACTGTCAGAAAGATGTAGACGTAGTAATGAATGTTTTCTTGCCAGCCTAGTGGCTTGTGCTGGTGACATAATTGCAGCGGTGAAGTGATACTTTGTCACTGAGTAAAAGGGTGTGGACAGGGCTATAAGGGAGCAATCCGTAGCAGTGCCTTTCAGGAAGGCCTTCCGGTGTCATGATTTGTGTTGGGAATGTAGCTGGTCACTAACAGAAGAAACTGAATAGTAGCAAGGGTGAGAATGGCACCTCACAAGCTGGATAAAATAGCTGAAAACTCTACAGTCCTGTCCAGACTAGCAGCCTTTAGGAGGTAAATCAATACAGTTCTTAAAGAGCGGTTGTGAGTGTGGGAGCTCTGACTATGGGGAAGATATTTATACATGAAGTTCTAGTATAAAATCTAATATGTTTTAAATATTAGTAAACCAATCATTCCAGCTTTCGTAACTTGCTTTATATAGAAGTGGTTTGCGTCTGCATTTGTCTGCTTTCAACTCTGAATATCATACTATGAAAGGGATGGAGACTTTATCTGGCTATCACTCTGCCACCTTTCATTTGCTGTTCACAGTCTTTAAAATACAGAATGTTCAATAAACCTATAGTTCATACCAAACATTCTGAAACATGCATAATTAGAATCAGAGGTGAGTGTTCTTGGCGTCATCTCAGTGTGGGAGGAGTCCTTTCATTATAAAGTCTGATTAAAGCAACTAAACCTACCTAACTCTCAATCTCTTACTCTAGACACTGTAAAGTCTTTATTATAAATACTTACTTTGCGCATATCGGGAATGGTTGAAACACTGAATAAGAAGCAGTGTATTAAAGCTCATGCATTTATCTTAATGCAAGCTAAGGGCTAGATCCCACATCCCTTGTGCACCCAACTCTCCTGTGGACTATAATCTTTATTTTTGATAAAGAAGTAGAAATTCTGTTCATTTGTATAAATTCTTATTTCTTGTCAGCTGCTCTTTTTTGTTGTTGTTCATTGATCATTATTAGAAGACATTTGATTTTGATGTGAAAATCTAGACATAACAATATGCTTAAAATGCTCATTCACATCATTTATGAAACATTGATATTTATGCTTTCTGTAATCCTGAGGAAAGGTGTCCCTTGTAACAATAACACAAACTACATCTGTTTTGCCAGTGAAAAAGAAAGCATGTATTGTTGTGCAGTTATGTCTATCACAGAGCTCTCTCATGGTGAGGCTATTCTGCTGAGCCTGCACTTCAGTGGCCTCACAAGTACCCTCTCAAGTACTTTCTTTCATTTTGTTACTGTCAATTGTAATGTTTTATTAAGCTACAAAATAACCCCTCCTTGCCAATTGCTCTTGTCTTCTATAGCTGGTAAATGTCACTTTGGGTGGTGTTTCCTTCTCTCCTGTCCCGTAGGGAACACTAGTCACCTTGTTTTTTCCTTGTTAATTTTATTAATAACTTGGTTGATCAACTCTACCATAGTAATGCGAAATAGTCAAGGTCTTCAGTGAAGAATTTATTTTTGAAATCTAGAGGACCTTTCCCTCCAGATCAGCCGTTTTCAACTAGGCTGTAGTTTGAACCTAACAACTTACACATAATGCAGTTTAAACAAGGGCTGTAAATGAGACACGGACAATGAAGCACATTGTCAAAGACTGCCTGCTGACTAGGTTCAATGGTGGCCTAGAAGACCTGCATCACGCCACTGAAGATGCCATCGCTTGGCTAGATGACTATGCACATGCTAAATAAATAAATGTGGGAATACACATTTGATCTAATAACTTTAGATCACTTAGCTGCTATTTAACCAAATGCTACAATTTATGGAAGTCATTCAGTACCTAAACAAAACCTTTGCTCTCCATGTTGTGTTTGAAACTGTCTGGAGGTGACATTGCTGGTTAATGGACTGTTCTAGCACAGAAGCTAGATCTCTGTATTGGGGATCAGTGAGTTCTGAATGAGAAATTTGCTGGTCAGTCTTGTTAAATTCAATCTATTTTTCAGATTGATAGGCAGCAGTTTGAAGAGACGGTTCAAACTCTAAATAACCTTTATGCAGAAGCTGAGAAGCTTGGGGGCCAATCTTATCTTGAAGGATGTCTGGCCTGTCTGACTGCCTATACTATCTTTTTGTGTATGGAGACACATTATGAAAAGGTGAGCCTGTTACGTTTCATGCAATAAACTTAAAGCAAATGAAACTCAGTGTTGTATGTGAAAGTTACGATCTGTCAACAGGAGAAGTGTTTTGCTTTTTAACTTTGATTATAAGGTTTTCTCTTATAACAGTATAGTTCATCATTGTAGTACAAATACAGAATAAGCTTTCACCTGCTAGCCTAGCTTCCTGAAAAATCCTGGTCTGTTCTCCTCTCACTTATATCGGAGAGTTGCAAGTATATACGCAGGGAATAAATGCCAACTTGAGTCACTGGTTGGAGAGTAGCAAAGAAATAAAGTGTCATCTTCCAGATGTGTGAAGAGATCATCCTGCTGCTTGGATAAACTATAACCATACAAAGATAATGTGCAGTTTTAGGAGAAAAGTCAAAGATACATTTTCAACCTATCCGTCACCCAGTGTGCCCAGTTGGTTGAACCATTCCTAACCCAATCATGTTTAACTTTAAAATCCATTAGACAAACACTAAACTAGAGAGTTTTACACTGAATGTTTAATTTCTTATGGGATTAAATTACTGATGAGGAGAGAGTTGCTCCACAGCTCTGTAGCCCAAAGAAGGCTCCTCATTCCCCCTAAACACTAGTCACTGGCTTTTGTCCGCCACCACAAATCCTTTGGTGTTTATGCTGCTGTTAGCTTCCTTTTCAGCATCTTCCTCTATTTGTCTTCCACTACTTGTTTTACTACTTGTCTTCCTGTGAGTTTGGATTTAAGTGAGATGTTAAGGTAGATGATGGTGGGGGCATAACTACTCCAAATCTACCTCTCTCATACACTTATACAACACCCTCTATTTGAGATTCTCCAAGCTCCAGATAAACATTCATTAAGGGCCCAATCCAACACCCATTACAATATTTCCAAATAAAATCCAGTTTTTCATTGAGCATTGGATTAGTCCATATGCCCCTCTTGTGAAATCAATATTATGCCCATTATACAGGTCAAACCAAGTGTAGAGATTTTAAGTGACCTGCTTTGTGCTGTGCAGAACTGCTGACTTCCAGTCCTTTGGTGAACCACTAGATCATTCTAAATTATAAAAATGTTGTGGTCTGATTACTTCTCTTTAAAAATGAAGATTTTCATTCTTGTTTAAACACCCTGACACACTGGCTTGAGGAACTAGAGGAACATTCATACTTTCACACCCACATGCATCCATGCTTACATATGTGGTCTGAATTTGGTATTGGCAGTTCCTCTTTATTTTATTTTTATGCAGTCTGAGTTCACAAAGCCAGTGAGTAGATGGTCAAGTCAGTATCTGAATACATTCAGTATCCCTTCTTTAAATGAAAGGAGAGTTTAAAGAAGCCTGATAATTTAATATTGCTGACTGGAAATAAAAACATGTTCCAAATCATTCTATTCAAGATTACTGCTGCATATTATATATGAACAGAAGCCTTTTGTCATCCCTTCTGAGCTGGGTGATAAATTGTGCTTGTTTGCGATATTTTACTTATCTAGATATCTTTGCCCTATCTGATGTAACAAGAGTGACTTTTTAAACCTTAGGCTGCGCCAGCTGAAATATCTTTTTACAACTGAAAACTAGATTGGGACAGGGATGGCAAGGCAGATAATTTTTCTTTTCAAATCTCATTGGAGAAAACAGCATTCCTGGTCATGCTAATGAGAACAGAGCAAAGAGATGGTTAATTCTTGTGACTAACTCTCTCTAACTTTGTGTCTGTTGCTCTTACTACTATACTATGTAATTTGTTTGACTATCTAGTTGGTTTTACAAATAACGTTTTTGACCCTCTCAAAATAAGATTGATTTCCATAATGTGATCATCTTGCCATTTTCTTTAATCGGTATAGTTTTCTAAATACGCAATATTGCGGAAAGCTCACCAGAAAGTTCATCCATCAAAACTTACATTTGATTAAACCGAGCTAGAGTGTGTCCCTAAGTAGTAACCCTTAGCAGAGTATGGATGGATGCATTTCAGGAATTCTTTATTTGAAATCAGTCATGCAGTCATTTTGTAAGAGACTTAAGTAGTAATGGATTGTGGAGATGGATATGACATCTCTAGTTTCCACTTCTTGTGGCTTGACTGAGCAGGAAATGGGAGAGTTGGAGAGATCTGAGCTGGATATCTTTATGGCTTGCTTGCTTCCATTATGTGTCTGAAGAAAGCTGACACATACCCATTGAGAGATAAGAAACAAAACTCTGCCTAGTAAAAGCTTCCTGAACTGAAACATTGGGAGGTTTCCATAACTCTGAAGGAGCAGTGTGTGTGAGAGACCAAAGTGAAACTTCACACTGCTAATAAAATACAAAAGTCACTCAGCTAAGACTGTTTCAGAGATTGTATTGGTTTTCTGCTGTTACTGTGTGTAGTCTGTTCTCTTAAAACAAGATACTCTTTGCTTTATACATACATATAATCTGAATTTCCAGAAGTTAGTTGCATTATGCAAAGCTTTATATTAAAGTGTCCTTGGTGAAATTACTTCCTTGGTTTGGTCCTAATCTGGATGCCTTTCTGGAAGATATGCTTTAGTCAAATACAAGTTATTGGGCTCTGTTCAAGGGTAACTAGGTGAAATTCTACGGTCTGTGTTAGACAGGAAGTCAGACTAGATTATCTAATGGTCCTTGCTGGTGACTATTAGATCTAATATCTCTGAAAGTATTTTAACTTTTCTTGGCCCAGTATATATGCAGACTGTGCGTTCCCACTCTGGTATTTTTATCTTCTAGAACCCTTTTCAGTTTATTTTCCCACCTTTCTTTCTAATGTCTCTTAAATATTTAAATAGATGCATGACTCAGCGGTTGTGGAAATACCATAAAACTGGTAGAACTAGTAATGTTGGAGCTTAGCCAACTGCAAAAGCTGGGTTTGATCTTGTTTTAGGGTTCTGTTAGTTTTTTTTATCAAATAACTTCAAGTACATAATTCACTGAAAGCTATCGGTTTCCCAAACATTTCTGTAGTGAAGTGACAAAAGCAACACCATCTGTCTAAAAGCCTGTCCTGTGTTTGCATTAAATCTACTAATCAGGGTCCTATCTGGGGCAAAGTAGACTGAACCTGTATGAAGCAAGAAGTGTATGGATGGCTCTTCTGTTTTGACTTTAACAATCAGTGTGTGAACTATTTGGATCAAAGCATTTGGAAATTATACTATATAAAACTAGTGCAGTCTGTTTGCCTTGGCTTACACACAGGCCAGAAATGCAAGTTAGCACTTGCCCCAGGCACTATTTTGATAAGGGCAGTGCTCTGTGCTAACATGCAAAAGGATTCATTTAAAGAGAATGCTGGCCTGGGACTCCTGCTGCTCAGACAGATGACAACTGGTACATCACAAAGGTGACATTCATGCAGGGAAAAGCGGTAGCTACATTGTTCATCAGCAGACACGTTTGTTTTATTTGGACTTATAAACAAATAAGCAGCTACCCAAGACACTGGGTACTCCTGCCATAAGTTATTAGAACAAAATATAAAATAGTAGTTTTACACCCCACCCAACAGCCAGCAGAATTCAACCCCTTCAAAACTACCCTCCCTCATCCAAGTGCCACCCCCCCCATTTAATATAGCAGGACTTGTTGGATTAGGAGACAGCAACAGGACCTCTGAGTTTTTGAAGGGTGGGGGAGAAGAGTGCTATCCAGTAAAGAGACGGTTGTTGGACTAGAGGAGTCGAAGCAGTAGAACAAATGGCGCAAAGAAGGCCTGATGTTTTTCTATATTTTCATCAGTGATCTAGAAGTAAATGCAAAAACACTACTTATAAAATTTGTGGATGACACACAGATTGGTGGAGTAGTAAATAATGAGTAAAGGGCAGTCTCACAGAGTGATCTGAATCGCTTAGTAACCTTGGCCCATTCAAACAAAATGTATAATTTTGCATTTAAACTGTAGTAAAAATTCATCTAGGAATAAGGAATGCATACCATACCTACACACAGTGGGGACTGTATTCTGGAAAGAAGTGACTCGAAAAAAATATTTAGGGATCATAACGGACAGGCAACCAAACATGAGCTCCCAGCGCAGTGCTCTGACAAAAAGGGCTAATGTGATCCTTGGCTGTATGAAGAGGGGTGTAGTGAATAGGAGCACAGAGGTTATTTCATTTTACCTTTGTATGTGGCGCTGGTGAGACTGAAACTAGAATGCCACATACCGGTCTAGTGTCAGCATTTTAAAAGGGATGTTGAAAAATCGGAGCAGATACAGAGAAGAGCCGCAAAAATGATTTGGGGGTTGGAGAAAACTCCTTATGGTAAGAAACTTGAAGAGCTTAATCTATTGATCTTGTCAAAAAGAAGAGTGAGCAGGGGACTTGATTAGTGTATTAAGTATCTTCCTGGGGAGAAAATACTAGGTACTAAAGGGTTCTTTAATCTAGTGAAGAAAGACATAACAAGAACCACTGGCAAGAAGCTGAAGCCAGACAAATTCAATTTAGAAATAAGGCTTAGCAGTGAGGATGATTAACCAAACTACCATGGGAAGTTGTGGAGTCTCCATCTCTTGAAGTCTTCAAATCGAGATGCCTTTCAGGAAGTTATACTTTAGCCAGACACAAGTTGTTGGCTTAATATAAGGGTAACTGGGTGAAATTTAATGGCCTGTGATACACAGAAGGTCTGCCTAGATGATTTAATTGCTCCTTCTGGCCTTGAACTCTGAATCCGTGGAAGAAGCATGTGGGGGGGAAACAGTTATTTTTGGAGTAGCTAAGATCAGCGCTTTGTATTTGGCATTCTATTATTAATGGGAAATTGACATGGAAGGAAAGGGGCCTCCTCTCTCTTTTAGAGTCACACCATGACACACACTAAGCAAATTGCTTGTGAGTAATTTAAACTGCATATTTTCATAGCACTATACAGGTCTCTTTTCCAGGCTATAGCCTATATTAACCTCCTGTAGCACAGACACACTATTATACAAATGTACCCCTGCCAGAGAATCTTGTTACGATACAGCTGTCTCCTGACCTCCTTGCAATATAGTTTCAGTGCTGGTATAGACAAGACACTACCCATGTATCCTTCCTGCCAAAAAAGAAAAAAATAGCCTAGCTATACAACAGGGCTACGTCCCAGCTGTGTTAGTGGAGCTGTGTTGCTAGGTCTTCCCTGACCTAGTTGTATTTGTAGTGTAGATGGGGCTTTTAAAGGAAGGCTGATGTGAAAACTGAAACGGAAAAACTGTAAAGTCTGTGTGTTCTGTCACCAGGTTCTTAAGAAAATTGCCAAATTCATTCAGGAACAGAATGAGAAGATCTACGCACCCCAGGGCCTCCTCCTGACGGACCCCATCGAGAGAGGACTAAGAGTTGTATCTTTTTATGGCTTCTTAATCCTCTTCTGAATTCTGTCCTCAGAGCGGTAATACTTACTTCACAGGGGCTGCATCTTACTTCACAGAGGCTGCATTGCACCCTGCAGGCACCCATGATTCTGTGATGTTATAAACACCAAGGAGTATGTGTTTTATAAGGTCTCATGTGTAACATACTCAGCTGTTCCTCTCAAACTTTATTAGGATAAAATTACTATCCATTTAGAAAGTCTCTTTAATAAAATATGAATTGGATAAATCTGTTCCTTGGAGCTTTCTTAGGTGCTATTCAGAAGCAGAGTATCTTCCTTCAACCTCAGCTACCTCTGGAAGATGCAACTTAGCCATTTAGAAAGGCTAGCTGACTTCCTAATAGAAATAAAACATGGAATGTAAATGCTCTGTAGAACTATTTTAAATGTTGGTCTTGGCTTAGAAACAATGCATTGTTGCTCCCACTGGTGCCTATGGTAAAATCTCCTCCACAATCTGCCTGAGTGATGAGGTCTGTCCCCCTGGATTTTGCTCTTGGCTACAGCTGTTCTCCCTACAACTTTTCTTCTAGGCTTTGGACCTCACTGCAAATGGCTTAGCATTCTAGTTACCATTTTTCTTGGTGGTTGTGGGGGCATCTTGTAGCAATAAAAGAGGAAGTATGAGTAATACATTTCATCTGTCAAGAATTCTGAACTCAAAGCCCCTTTGAAATGCATAGGCTCATAGTGTGTGGTGAGTTGTCATCCTAATTAATTGCAGTTCCTTGAGTTTATCTGAGTAGTGGCCCAAATAGCTTACAGCTGTCAGTTGTGTAATTTCATTACCCTTGATGTGCTGTGCATTTTTTTGGGAACTGTAAGTACAGAAAAATGACTTGCATTTGGTAAACAGACTTGTAAATAGTGATTTAATTTGGTAATGTGATTAATAATTGAACAGTGGAAGAGTGCAAAGCAAAAACTTGCCTAATGACCAAGCTGTTTGTTCATAAAAATGTTAACAGCTTTACTGCAATATTACAAAGTCTTTATGCCTCCAAACAGACGTTTTTGTCTAAAGGCAGGTTGTAGCACAGGCCAGAATGCAAAGCCAAAAGCCACGAAGAATGTTTTGCTTACTATAGTTGAGAAATTTAGCAAAATTCCCTCTCTGTAATGGCAGATGTGAGGCTGAAAGATCAAGTGCTTCACTGCCTTGCTTTGTTTCACTTGCCTGTTTTATCTCCATGATTTTTCTATATAGCATGTTTTCTTAACAGCCATGCTGTGCAGATTGAAATTACCATTTACGAAGACAGAGGACTGAGCAGTGGAAGATAAAACTAAGGAGTCTAAGGTAAATATTAACTTTGCATTAGATGTCAAGTCAATAACCTGCTTCTGTAAATTCAGAAGATGCAGGTCTTCTCCCCTGCTGAGACTGAATGTTTATCCAACCACTGCATGTAATCATAAGGCTTTTTAAATAAATCTTATGTGTGGATTAGATTTTAAAATCCCAGCGGAAGTTGTAAAAACACCAATACTTGGCAGTATGCCGCTGAATGATGATGTACTTCAGATGACACCAAATTTAACCTTGATGAAAACCAGATTTTAATTAAACATGCATACACTTAAATCTAATTTATGCCGTACTGCATCAAAAATCATTATCTCCTAGGTTTAGTAGATCCCGATTCTGCTGAACAGTGCAGAACTTTAAAAATCATGTTTAAAATGTAATGATTGAATTTAATCACTGTTTAAATGGCTATTCTGGATTTCAGAGTGACTCCTACTTATGGCATAAGGTGATATGGGACTCCCATTCAGTCTAATATGCTAACACTGCAGTCACACTAGTGTGTGAATGCTATCGGCTCTTTCAAGCTAAGTAGTAGAGTCAACCCAGGTCAGTACTTGGGTGGGAGACATCTAAGAAAAATCCAGGAGCTGCAAGATGTAGTGTTGGCAATTTAGTAGGTGCTGTGGTGCCGCTTGCTCCCTATAGTCAGTACTGAATCAGTGCCACAGCCTGAGGTTAGGGACTCTTGCTGGAGCTGCCATCTTCTGCTTAAAGCTTCCTCTTGCACTTTTTCATAGGAGTCAAGATATTAACCCCAGTATCCTGACTCCAATTCCCTTTTTGGTTCAACTAGATAAAGTATTCACTTCCTGTGCACTGCTAAAGTCGCTGCATTTCAATGCTGGTTGAAGTGATCCCCCATTTATCTCTTAATTACAACCAAGGTTGTGACTCTTCATGTTCGTAAAGCACTTAGTGCCTCCCACCCAAGAATCTCAGTCTCAGTACAAAGTATTTTATCTGCTGGCCTGAGTAGGAATATCACACATCAGCAGCCAAATTCTACCTAACATGTACAGTTGAATTCCACCCAACACTCTTCCCTCCTTTGCTTTGCTGGGTGCCTCTTGATTAACCTGTGCCTACAATTCTTCTAAATGGGATTTTTTTCACAGGCTTGTCTACACTGTGCATAAAGCATATTAGAGAGTTTTACAAATCACATGCGAGTAACCTGCTGTGCTCTAATCACCCCATGGAGACCCTGCTGGTGTGAACTAAAAGATACCTAGTCTGCATTAACATCGTCTGGGTATTTTTTAGTTCCTCCCCTCTTTCCCCCCCATCAGGGTCTACATGGGGCAGTTAGAGCACAGCATGTTAGAGCACTCTACAAATCACACCCCTCTAATGTGCTTTGCCAGCACCATGGAGACAAGCCCTGGGGCTTGGTCTATGCTACAGACTTATGTCGGTATAACTATGTCAGGGTATAGACGCTCTGCACCCCTGAGTGATGCAGTTATACGGCCCAAACTGTTGGTGTAGACAGCGCTATGTTGCCGGAGGGCTTCTCCCATCGACATAGCTCCTGCCTTTCAGGGAGGTGGGATATCTACACTGACAGGAGAAGCTCTCCCATCAGCTTAGGTAGCGTCTTCACTAAGCACTACAGCAGCACAACTGCATCAGTGCAGTGTGCTGCTGCAGTGCTGTACATATAGACAAGCCCTGAGAGGCTCACCAAGCCATGACGGGAAACTTTCCTAGAGTAGATGGCTGAATATTCTTTTAGCTGCACAATAAGCTGTGGGATATCGGAGTAGTTTGTAACAATGTGTTACTTAGGGTATGTCTACACTTACCCGGTAGTTCGGCGGCGAGCGATCGAACTTCTGGGTTCGACTTATCGCGTCTTGTCTGGACGCGATAAGTCGAACCAGGAAGTGCTCGCCGTCGACTGCGGTACTCCAGCTAGACGAGAGGAGTACCGCGGAGTCGACGGGGGAGCCTGCCTGCCGCGTGTGGACCGAGGTAAGATCGAACTAAGGTACTTCGAACTTCAGCTACGTTATTCACGTAGCTGAAGTTGCGTACCTAAGTTCGATTTGGGGGGTTAGTGTAGACCAAGCCTTAGAGATGACTCTTCTGATTTAGAATGTCCAAACTGATTGCTCTAGTTATTAGCACTCTGGAGCCTGATATTCTGTGTGGTTTTTGTTTTCTGCCATTGGGAGCAAGTTTGTTTTATCAGTTGCAGCTGCATCTGCTTGGCACAATCCATTTGTCATGAGTCATTTCACAGCTATTATTGCTAAACAATGTTTTTCCTAGGTGGTGTAGGTTTTGAGCAATTACACACAAGAGCCTACTCTATCAAAGTTCAAACAACTGTGAAATTTCTAAAATGGGGAAAGATTTACATTAGGAACTTCTGGATAGTTTCATGAATTGCAAATATTTTTGTTCAGCATAACTTTGTTTTTGAAGCTGCATATGTATCAGGAGCATGCCCAATATGGAACCAAGGGTCTTATTAGGTATCTATCTTCCCAAACTTAAATCACCAGCACCCCCAACCTGCAGCCTGCAAAGTGTCCTAGACAATCTGTTTGACTGCTGAATAGCGCGTGTGGGTTACATATACAGTTTAGTGAGAGAATCTAGAACAGCAGGGAATATGCCTACAACTGAAAATAGGATGCACTTTCTAAGTCAGATTCTGATTTCAGCAACGTCAGTGTAAATTCAGAGTAACTCTCACCAGTATTGCTAATATCAGAATCTGGCCTGCTGATTCAGTGATCCATTGAAGATTCGTTTGGTGGGAAGTCAGGCTCTGAGCTTACTCAACAATGTCGAGAAATTGCATTAGTGCAATCCCTCCAGCCTGTCACTGCCACCAACTTGCATCTTACATGCCCATGCTAGGAGCAGAGATGCAAATTGCCAGTAGCTCTTACCAGTACACACTAAATAGTCCAACTCTCTGGATACTTTAGCTGTAAGTAAACTCTAGCTTTGATTACTTTGTTTGGAAAGACCATGATCTGAGAGACTTCTGACTGGTGTGTCTGAATCTTCTTGCAGGTCCCTCGGGGAGATTTTCAGAGGTACAAAGGGGAAGTGGAGTTGAGTGCCTACCTGCTCTTTGTGCCTCAGTAATCTTCCCTAGCAGAGTGTCATCATCCCACTCTGCAGAACCAAAATATCTGGGTGTCCCTCACCAAGTCTGCTAAAAATATTCAGTGTTCACTTATGAAAAGTGGATTAATTTGCATTAATTTTAGAATTACATAATTAGTATCCTTATTGGCTTCCAAAGTACTTTACATCCACTCCTTACATCTGGACACACAGGCGTTTGTATTGCAGTGGCAGCCAAAGGCTCCGGATGAAATTGAACCCTTTGGGCTAGGTGCCATACAAAAGCAGCCAGACATAGTCCCCTGCTCCAAAGGGGGTTACAGTGAAATGGGGAGGTGTACTAGTGGCCTGCCTCTTTAAGGGCCAGAGGCTTGGAGCCAGCCAGCCCTGGTCAATTGTCAGTCACCTGGGAAGGGAGTAGGTAACTGTAAAAACCGGCAAGTGTCTCTGTTGAATGTGGATGGCTGGGGAAGCTTCAGGAAGGGATGGTGGCCTGCAGTAGTCCCTGAAGAAGGAAGACTCCTGGTGGTAAACTTGGCAGGATAGGAAGCCCTACTTGGAAGCTTTATCATTTGTGGTCATTTGGACAATAAACAGCCCAGAACCAAGGGGTAAAGCCTCACTTGGTGTGGCTGATAATTCGCAAGGCTCCTGAGGAAGCCAGCTGCTTATAGGAGGAATGACATGGTAATGGTAGTGGTCTTGTGGCCACAGAGGTAGCTGTTTCACTATGTGATGGTTCCAAATCATTTTAATCTTGTTCCTTAAACAAATTAAACTCTCCTGGCCAGTCATCATTAGGTGGCTGATTGTAGATGCCACAGCAGAAGTGGGTCCTGAGAGGATAATGGCTTTATGGATTAAGACGAGGAGGCTGTTCCATGCATAAGGCTTACGGTAGAAGAAGCAGTGAAGTGGGCATGCTGGCCTCATTGGCAGAGGATGCAGGGGAGACACCAAGAAGTATTATGCCCTGTCTTGCAGAAGGGGACCTACAGGTGAAGCCACTTGCCAAGTTAGTTATATTCCCAGCTGTGCCACTAAGTGCTGGCTCCCAGGCCCTTATTGTGAACCATTACACATGCTACCTCCTCCCTGCTGCAGTACTTCTGGGAGAACAGACACCATTATGTGAAGGTTCCATGAATGGTTCATGCAGTGTCCCTAATGTTAAACTTGTTCTGTCTTGCTTTCTAGCACCCAGCTAGGTGGTGGACTTGCTGTACCAAAAGGTTCACCTACCTCCTGTCTAGAGCATCATTCCTCTCCGTTGCCAGATCCATGGTGCAATCCACTAAAGGACTAACTTCCTAGACTTCTGCTCCACATGGGGTGAACCTCTGGCTGGTCAGCATCCATTTTGTGTCCTTATGACAAGCTTTAAGTGATGGGATCATCTTAATTTCCAAGGAAAAGGCAGTTGAGCTGTTTGCACTTGAAATTAACTGGCAGATCAGCCACCTGAGAGCAGTACTGTTCCTCCACAGCCACTCAGGCTTTCCTATACATCAAACAGACTTCAGAAAGCAACAAGTCTGACTTTGGGAGCATGTGTGTGTTTCAAAAACAAAATCTTCACTCCAGAATAAGTCCTTGGGGGGGGGAGGGGAGTGGGAAGCAGGTAGATATGTCCGTGCACAGAGTGCCTCTGCCTGGCAGCAAGTGACTCAAGGCATAGAGCATTTTAAGTTTTCAGAGCTGATGCTCTCTGGGAATTATAATGCAAATGCTTTTTGTTTTCATGTTCTAGTTATTCCTAAGAACCATTAGCTAACATTATTGCTGGGTGTTTTGCTACTGTTTGAGAATCTACTGTTACTGCATTGTCCTAAATTTATAGGAGGAGATAGTGTATTGCTTGTTTCATTAAGCTATGTAAGCACAATAAAATGAATGCTGAACCAATTAATGTAACCATCCCTACTCTATCCCTTAATGTTTAATATGTGAAGTGTAATAAACTTCATGGTTTTATTATAAATATAATTTATAGGAAAATTTGATTTGACAAAGTACTAGATAGTGGGTAAGATAGTTTCTTAACTCTAGTCACTGGCAAACTGCTGAAGAGTAGAGCTGTGCAGTATGTCGTATTTCCCATGCATAAACATTCCTCAGCAACGTCTGTTAAAATACCTTGGACATCTTCTGAGTAAAACTTCCTACAAATCAAGTTGGTGTCATATTTTCTATTGTCTCTTTCTCCCTTATTAGTGAACTCTCTAGCTAGCCTTGGCTTAAGTTAGCAGAGTCCCTCTGTTTTGAGAGCTATCATCCTTTCCCGTGGAAGGAATTAAGGGATTTACAAAAGAAGACAACTGTCCAGAACAGAGAGAGCATTCTGCTTTGTGATACTGTAGGTGCTAATACTGGATCTAAGCTTCCAGATGTAATTTCTCATACACTGATTTTTTTTCCTGGAGGCTTGTGTAATATTTTAACTGTACAAAATACTTGTTTTTCTAAGCTGTAACAGTGTGTTTGCCTTTTCAGACCTGTTGCAATAATTTTGAAGAAATATTAATGGATTAATAAATTTTTCTTAAATAAACTGTGTCATACTTTATGGTACTGACATGAATCAAATAATAACTCCCTAAGTAAAACTGATGGCTGCTCACCAAGATTCTAAAATATGTATACACTTACACAGCTATCCTACTAATCTAATGAATGTTACACATTGAGGGTGGGCTTTCTACCAGGGCTTTGGAGCTGTGCTCCGGCTCCGCTTCAGCTCCAGGCACAAACCTGCAGCTCCACTGTTCTGGAGCTGTTCCGCGCTCTGGCTCTGGGCTCCGCTCCAAAGCCCTGCTTTCTACTTTGTTAAAGAATCAGATTTTTGCTTGTGTAGAAACAAAATGTTAGCAGCAACACTAGTGATCACATCTAATGTTGAGCCCATGTAGGTTTCAGTCTAGAGGTTTCTGTGTCTGAGCGCACTGTAGTTCAGGCTGCACACATCAATATGTTATAGACTGTGTTTACAATTGGATGGTATTTACAAATGTGGGATGCAACTCCATACTTTTAGATAAGCAGCCAAAAGTTTGTGAAGTTTGTTCCCCAAAAGTGGGAACAGCAAGGGAGCTCAGTAAATGGAAAAATGGATCTGTATTATAAAATTGTCTGAATTAAAGAGAAATTGGATTTTTAACAGTCAAGAGGACATGAATAGGTTTCTCTCTGAATAATTTATAGTTTTTGGTTTGGTTAAGTAAAGGTTAAGGTTTACAGAAGATAGCTGAGCACCTCCTGTAAGGAATACAGTAATGATCAAGGAAGTAGGATGTGACCTCCTGTCCATGACCAACCTGGAGAGACCTGATCCTGGATGCAGCATTTCCTAGGGTGCTCAACTTGTGTATCCACTGACTGGTTCTGGAGTGTTCTGGCTCCCCTTCAGAGAATCATGAGTTTGTAGGTCAGGCTGTAAATAAATTAATAGATTGCAAGACCAAAGTGGACCCTTGTGGTCATCTAGTCTGACCTCCTGTATAACACAGGTCAGAAAACTTCCCCATCATAATTCCTAGAGAAGATCTATGGATAGATAGTATTCTCAATTATGATTTAAAAATTGTCAGTGATGGAGAATCCCTTGGTCAATTGTTCCAATGGTTATTTACTCTCTCGAAATTTTACATCTTATTTCCGGTTTGAATTTGTCTTCAACTTCCAGTCACTGGATGGTGTTAACCTTACCCTGCCAGATTGAAAAGCCCATTATTAAATAATTGTTCTCCATGTAGATACTTAAAGTGTAATCTAGTAACCCCCTAACCTTTCTTTGTTAAGCTCAATAAACTCAAAGAGCTCAATCTATCACTACAAGGCATGTTTTCTAATCTTTAATCAGTTTTGTGGTTCTTCTCTGAACCATCTCCAGTTTATCAACACCCTTCTTGAATTGTGGACTCTAGAACTGGACACAGTATTCCAGCAGTGGTTGCACCAGTGCCAAATAGAGAGAAAAATAACCTCTCTATTCTTTTTTGAGATTCCCCTGTTTATGCATCCCAGGATAGCATTAGCTCTTTTGCTCACAGCGCCACACTGGCAGCTCATATTCAGCTGATTATCCACCATGACTCCCAAATATTTTTCAGAGTCCCTGCTTCCCTAGATATAGTGGGCCATCCTGTAAGTATGGTCTACGTTCTTTGTGCCTAGATGGATACATTTACATTTAGCCATATTAAAATGTATATTTTCCCAGCCAATCAAACTTGCTCTGAATCAATGACCTGTCCTCTATTATTTACCACTCCCTCAATTTGTGTCATCTGCAGATTTTATCAGTGATTTTATGTTTTCTTCCAGGCCATTCGTAAAAATGTTAAATAGTGTAGGCCCAAAAACTGCAGGACTGTACTGGAAACATACCCCCTCAATGACTATTCCCCATTTACAATAACATTTTGAGACCTATCAGTTAGCCATCTTTTAATCCATTTAATGTGTGCAATGTTAATTTGATACCATTCTAGTTTAATCACAATGTCATGTGGTACCAAACCACCCCAATTCAGTATCTTTTCCCCCTCTATCTTTCTCTTCCTGATTTACGAGATGCTTCTCCATGCTAGTCAATGTGAAGGAAAACATACCCAAAGTCTTGATGGTCTGTGAGGCCCTCCTTATTGGCTGATGATCCCAGGAGAGTGACTGGATACTGTATCTCAGCCAGAGGAGTCTTGGCCTCTGTACTGACTGTCCAGCTCCATTTGGAATGATCCATGAGTGGATTCATCGGTGTTGAGTTCTGCAGTCAATGCCTGGCACCCCTGGAGCTGGGACTTCTGCAGGCAGAGTGGTGTTCCAGCGAGGCTAGCCCTTTCAGGGTGTCTGCTAAGGCTGTAATTTAAAGTAATGAACAGTGCTCTGCACATTTATTGCACCATGTAGCTACCCCTATTTCTCATTGATTGCATCAATAAATCCTCCCCCTTTGATCACAAATTAAAATATTTTTCAATACATTCTTAGATCCCGTTTCACTCTTAAATTACCTTGTTGTGTTTAACCGTTTCATAGAACCTTGCTTTAAAAAAAATTTCCCCTTCTTACAGTTCTCTGGGGCCTAATAAAACTGGGACTGATGCTTTGTGCTGAGTTGAAGCTTACACTAGTTGGTCGTATTACTCTACAGAGCTGTGTATAACTGAAGGAAAATTGTGGAAGTTAGTCTGAACTGAGGCCTGTACTAGCCTAGGGCTACCATATGCCCGGATTTCCCCGGACATGTCCGGCTTTTCGGTCTATAAATAGCCGTCCGGGGGGGATTTTTAAAAATCTAAAAATGTCCGGGATTTCCCCCCGGTCGGCTATTTATAGACAGAAAAGCGGCGACCAAGCGCCACTGGGCACCCAAAGCCCCTTCCCGGCTCCCCCCATCCCCTGCAGCCTTACCACGCTGTCCGGCCCCGCAGCTGTCTTTCTCCTCCTCCACTCCCCTGAACGCTCCGCCCCCCTGCTCCTCCCCCTCCCCTGCTTCCCGCGAATCAGATCTTCGCGGGAAGTCTGAAAAGAAGCAGGGGCAAGCGGGAGGCAGCAGCAGGTAAGCTGGGGTGGGGGGGCGCGGCCCCGGCCCGGGCCGAGCGGCGCCCAGCGGCTCCGGCCCCGGCCCCAGCGGCTCCGGACCCGGCCCCAGCGGCTCCGGCCCCGGTTCCGGCCCCAGCAGCGCCAGCCCAGCCCCGGCCGAGCACCCCCGGGCCAGCCCGGCTGTCAGGGGAGCAGGGGTGTGGAGAGGGGTCGGGACAGTCAGGGACAGGGAGCAGGGGGGTTAGATAGGTCAGGGGTTCTGGGGGGGCTGTCAGGGGGGCAGGGGTGTGGAGAGGGGTTGGGACAGTCAGAGACAGGGAGCAGGGGGGGTTAGATGGGTCTGGGGTTCTGGGGGGGCTGTCAGGGGGGCAGGGGTGTGGAGAGGGGTCGAGGCAGGCAGGTAGCAGAGGGGGTTGGATGGGTCAGGAGTTCTGGGGGTCCTGTCAGGGGGCGGGGAGCAGTTGGATAGGGCATGGGAGTCCCCGGGGGTCTGTCTGGGAGCGGTGGTGTGAATATGGGGTGGGGGTGTGGATAAGGGTCGGGGCAGTCAGGGGACAGGTAGGGTCGTAGTGGGGCAGTGAGGGTGGGGGGTTCTCAGGAAGGGGCAGTCAGGGGACAAGAAGCAGGGCGGCTTAGATAGGGGGTGTGGTCCTAGGGGGCAGTTAGTGGCAGGGGTCCCAGGAGGGGGCAGTCAGGGGACAAGGAGCGGGGGGGGTTGGGGGTTCTGGGGGGGCAATCAAGGGGTGGGAAGTGGGAAGGAGTGGATGGGGGCGGGGCAGGGGCTGGGCTAGAGCGGGGCTCCTCCCCCCAGTGTCCTCTTTTTTGCTTGTGGAAATATGGTAACCCTAACTAGCCCCCTAGTTCAGTCAGAGGGAGAGAGTGTGTGTGTATGTGTGTGTGTATGTATGTCAGTCACCCACCACAAAGGGGCTGGGCCCCACACCCTCTCACAATACTCGTGACCCTGTGTGTGGGTGCAGTGCCTAGCATGATGAGGTCCAGTTTCCCCACTGAGGCCCCGGACTGCTAAGGGGTCGCCAGGACACAGCGCCATTATGTTCACACTGGGGGGAGGAGGCGGCTATAGGCTGCACCCCAGGAGGGGGCGCGAATGCTCCTGGGGTTGTGGTGGGGGAAATGGGGGGTGCCTCTGGCAGGGGCCTGCACAACCCAATCAGGACTAAGGTCCGTCCGTCCATCCAGGAATTGCTCCATCCTTTTCTCTATCCCTCATGGAGCCGCCCCCAGTGTCTGAGGCACTGACCATCCCTCACTCATCCCTGCCTGGGCCGGTCCCTGGATCCGTCTGTCCGCCCGTGCCTGTGTCCGTCCGTCCGAAGGGAAGGGCTGCCCCGCCCTGCGCGTGGATCCGGGGGGCGGGGGGGAGGCGAGGCTCGGGGCCCCGTGGGCTCTGGCTGGGCGTCGCGGCCCCTTTAAGCCGCCGCGGGGGAGAGGGAGGGGAAGCGCCGGCCGCCGGGCAGAGCGCGCTGACGTCACCGCACGCCCGCGGTTGGCGGGAGATCCGGGCCGGGATGGCGGAGGGGCCGGAGGTGCGCGAACTGGACTCGGACGGGAGCAGCGAGGAGCTGGTGCTGACCCCCGCCCAGCTCCTCCGCAGCCTGGAGCAGGTGGGCGGGGCCGGACGCCTGGGTCCCCGGGTAGCCCGGACTCCTGGGTTCTCTCCCTGGCTCTGGGAGTGGAAGGGGGGGCTGGTGGTTACAGCTGGGAGCCAGGACTCCTGGGTTCTCTGCCCAGCTCTGGGCGGGTAGTGGGGGCTAGTGGGTCAGAGCATGGGGGGCTGGGAGCCAGGACTCCTGGGTTCTCTCCCTGGCTCTGGGTGGGGAGCGGGGGCTGGTGGTTAGAACAAGGGGGGCTGGGAGCCAGGACTCCTGGGTTCTCTCCCCGGCTCTGGGAGGGGAGTGGGGGCTGGTGGGTTAGAGCAGGGGGGGGGCTGAGAGCCAGGACTCCTGGGTTCTCTCCCCGGCTCTGGGCAGGGAGTGGGGGCTGGTGGGTCAGAGCAGCGGAGGATGGGAGCCAGGACTCCTGGGTTTGATTCTAGGAGGGGAGCGGGCCCTGGTGGGTCAGATCGGGGGGCTTGGTGTTAGGCCGGTTTATGGCTCACTGTCCTACTATGCTGTCAGGCCTGGCTGAATGAGAAGTTTGCCCCAGAGCTGCTGGAGAGCAAGTCTGAAATCGTGGAATGTGTCATGGAGCAGCTGGACCACATGGTGCGTGTTTGGGGACACTGGTGGGGTCAGGGATTGGGAATGGCTGGGCAGGTTCATACTGTCATTGCTAAACTCCATGCCCAAGCTCCAGCCAGTGCTCCTATCCATCCTCCTCTCCAGTGTCCCCCACAGGGGGTGGATGTAGTTCTGAGCATCTTTGTGATTAACTTGCATGCTCTGCCCAAGCAGTGATGGTTCATGCTTATGTGCTGAGAGCAGCAAGAGCCCCCATGCTCCTGGCATGTTGCTGTTAGTCACAGAGTTTAATATTGGCATCAGCTGTTGTTGTTGCCCATCTGCTATTCCATAGGGCCTTCAGCATGATTGCTGTTCATCCTGGCCTGCAGCTTGTTCGCCAGTGTGGGCTGGTGATGGGGGCAGTGCTGCTAGCCAGTTCCTGGTTCTTTATGCAGTTGTTTGCTACAGAGGTGGTGTAAATCTCCTGCGCCAGACAGCCTCGCAGTTGCCTGGATGACAGAATCAACCATCTGCAGTCTTGACCATTACCTGCCCAAATCATATATGCTGCAAAATCTGGCACCTGACTCTTGGATTCCCTTCTCTAAGGAGCTGTCCCACATGTTGGTTCCCACGTGGCAGGGAGGAGCGGTAACCTGCATTCCTGGTACAGGTGCTCTGTCTGCGGCCATTGGCCTCTCTGTGTCTTTAGCTGTTGAGTGTTTGAACAGTCTGATATTCCCTCTATGTGCCCCTTCTGCAGGAGTCAAATCTGAAACGAGCCAAGCACGGAGACCTGAAGGTCAGCATCCACCGCATGGAGATTGAGAGGATCCGCTATGTCCTCAGCAGCTACTTGCGCTGCAGGCTTGTGAAGGTAACATTCTGCTGTGCTGTGCCATGGGAACGTGACTCTCAGGAGAGTGGCTGGAGGCACAGCGTTCTGGCCACACCAAAAGCATATTGCTTTGGCCCAGGGCTCTGAGTTACGGTCCCTTGACATGTTTGGTTAGAGTAACCAAGGTTCACCTGGGGAATCCAGTCCTCATTGGTCTCAAGCGCAGCATCTTGTTCTGGGTATCACAATGACTTGGGGGCGGGGGAGGGGTGTCAGTGCTGTGGTGAGCATGTTTATTACCCTATGGAGGGTCAGCAAAGTGCAATCTTCCTCCTGGATACTCCATTGCCATCCCGCCTCTCAGGCGCAGACAGCCCTGCGCGGGTCAGGAACTAATCCCAGAGCAGATGCGCCACCTCTGCACCTCACCAATCTGCAGTGACAGATTCTCTCTGGCTATAGAAGTCTGAATTCAGAGAGGGAGAATGCTGGGAGCTGCCTCTGACAGAGCTCTCTGTTTCGATCCCCGCTGACACTTCTTTGGGGTTTTTCTTCCCCTGGCAGATCGAGAAGTTTTTCCCTCATATCCTGGAGAAGGAGAAGTCCCGAGCGGAAGGAGAGCCTTCCGTCCTCTCTCCAGAGGAGTTTGCCTTTGCTAAAGAGTGAGTAGGTGTGGAAGGAGGCTGGGCAGTGGGGTGAGCCAGGTCTACTCTGCAGGCTAGATCCAGGCCTGGAGAACTGGGGTTGTATGCACTCCGGCTCTCCCTTTGAGCCTATGCTTCACATGTGTAGATCCTCCCTTGGCAAACTTGGCCATGGCAGCTTGGTTGGAAAACCTTGTCCCCTAGTGACCAGCTAACAAGTCCCTCACTCTCTGTTGGGCCTGCAGTGAAGCTAAAGGCTTGGCCCTGAGTGCTCCTGACAGTCTGGGAAGGGGTTGAAAAAAGATCCCTGCTCAGCCTCCATCAGTCTTGGTGTCTGGCCACTTGCCTCCTTCCATGTGCATTTCAGATTCATGACAGGAGCCTCTTCCTGCTGCACAGCTTCCTCACCCGTCTCCATGCGGCCCTCTGCTGGCAGTTTGTGGCAGGCCATTGGCCCAGGAGGTCTCACTTCAGCCACCCACTAAACTATGCCAGAAAAGTTCCCTCTGCTGCCCGAGTCCTGCCTGTGGGAAGAGCCCTCACTGCCTTTTGTGTCACCTTCCCATGGAGATAGGCTGTGCCCTTGGGCACTGAAGGATTTGTGTGCGCTGTTCTGCTGGAGCAGAGAAGCCTTAATTTCAGCTTCTGCTCCTCCAGACCAAGACGCTGCTGCTGTGTTCCTGTCGTGCTCGTGGGTTCAGCATGTCTTGCTGGCACCTGGAGTCAGTTCTGGCCCAGCAGCTTTTGCGGTGATCTGACTGACAATAAGGGCTGTTTGTTTCAGGTACATGGCGAACACAGAAACCTACTTGAAAAACGTGGCCCTGAAACACATGCCTCCCAATCTGCAGAAAGTGGATCTCCTGAGACTGGGTAAGGGAAGCCCGCCTGCAGCACAGGCAATAGAATTCTAGCAGAGGCTCCCTGGGGACACATCCTGGATGAGCCCTGGAGTCACCTGAAGTCCTAGAGAGCAAGCAGTGTAAGCGCTAGAGCTCCAGCGAGTGCTTGGAAGAAGCAGGTGTCCGAGCACGGCCCTCTCCACACTGCTGGCCCTTTAGGTGGTCTGGATATGTTCACACGGCCCTCTCCTAGAATTGCCCTCTGGGGAGAGACAAGGGAGTCACCAGACTATTCACACTGGTCTCTGTGTTCTGACTTTCCTGCCGTCTCAAGTATGTGTTGGCTGGTGCATTCAGGGTTGGGCAGTCGCCTGTGATGCCCCCATTGCTGGTGCTATTGACCAGCATTGCACTGTGTCCTCATGAGCATCCCAGCTCCTTGTGAAGGTCCTGGAGAGGAGCAGAGACTGTTCACAGGAGTGGCTTGTGCAGCACAAAGTGCCCTGTGCTCAATCACTTGAGCCAGGGGTCAGGGCTCTGAGTGTGTCACTTTCCTTGCAGTTCCCAAACCCAACCTGGACTCCTTTGTATTTCTGAGGGTGCAGGAGAGGCAGGAAAACATATTGGTGGAGCCAGAGACCGATGAGCAGAGGTAAGTGGCCTATTGCTTTTCTGTGCACTGATACGTGCATGCCTTAGAAATGCCATCCTGACTGTACTCTGCTCAGCTTCCCGCCGCGGAGAGTGCAGGGGGTGTGTCTCTGAGTTGCCTGTCCAGCGGTGGGTGGGTGGGCTGGATGGAGCAGCACTCCTCCTTGCCTAATCTGGTCACGTTGCCACTGCAACCCTGAAAAGCAAGCAGGAGCCCCAGGAGAATGCAGCACCTGTCTCCTCTCGGCCTAAGCTTGCTGCTGCCCTTCCATCTGAACCTGTCTCTCTTTCCCCTTCAGGGAATATGTGATTGACCTGGAGGAGGGCTCACAGCATCTGATCAGATACAAAACCATTGCCCCCCTGGTGGCCTCGGGAGCAGTTCAGCTAATTTAAGACACCACAAGACTTAAAGGGGCCAGGCAGGAGGCCCTGCAGTCTGGGGGGGCGAGTGCTGTGCACAGGACCACCTGAGAGCATCGCTGTGCCAGTCAGCGCATGGACGCACAACAGTTGTGGACAGTTGTAAATACCCATCCTGCCCCCAGCCCAGCCCGGGGACCCAGCAGCTCAGTTTTTCTGTAGCCTGAGGACAGGAAGACAAACAGCCGGAGAAAGGTGCCATCAGCAAGTGCTCCAGTCTGGGGAATGGGGACACTACCGCCGAAAGAAAGCTGAGCCAGATCTTCCACCCAGCTGCGGCCTCTACAAAGCTGCTGCTTTGTTGTGGAGACAGCAGGTGGCACCATTGCCATGCTTATGCTCTGGGTATTGCAGCCAGCTGGCAAGAAGCCCCTGGAATGAGTTAGTGACTGTTGGAGGAGGATGTGCCAGTGTGAGCGAGGTATGTTATAAAGACAACTGCAAAATCTCCATGTGTGCCTAAAAGGGCACCGCCACCCACTGTCCAAGCCTCCTGTGCAGCTAAGTTAGGAGAGATGCTTAAATGTTGTGTGGGGAGGGGATTAGACAATGGATGAGTGCTTGTGTGGGTTTGCAGGAGGTACTAGCCTGGAATGGCCTGGGGTGGGACTGGTCATGTTTGGAACCTGCAGGAGCTGTGGAGCTCTTACAGGCCAGGGATGGCAAGTAGAATGATCGGCCTGAGAGAGGACAAATAAACCAGTGGCGTATCTCTGGCTCTAGCTCTCAATGAGGAGGAGGTGGCATCTGCGTCCCTGACAGTGATTTTGATTCACTTTGGTGTATTCGTGGCACCCATTAAACAATCGGTGGCTCTTCCTGAGAGCCGGCAGCCTGTGTTCCAGACTGCGTCCAGCATGGCCTGGGCATGGGTCGCTCACCCTTTCCCCGATGAGCATTCCAGTCTCCAGGTCTGTACGAATACCTCCTCTTAGGTGTAAAGCACAAGGGCACCAGTGTTTACCATGGTCTGACAAAAGCGGGTGGTCTGTGTCAAACTCTGGGAGCGGCACCTTAGTAAGACTGGCATCCTGGCTTGATGGAATGTTGGTTGCCAGGTCTGTGACCCCTTGTGACCTGCCCATCTCCTCTTTAGTACTGCCCTTTGCCAGGTGTAGAGAGGTGGTGGAATCTCCTTCCTTAGAGGTTTTTAAGGCCTGGCTTGACGAAGCCCTGGCTGGGATGATTTAGTTGGGGGATTGCTCCTGCTTTGAGCAGGGGGTTGGACTAGATGACCTCCTGAGGTCCCTTCCAACCCTGATATTCTATGAGTCTATGAGGTGATCCATTCAGCCAAAAAGCACAGTGCATAGATTCTCCATTGCAAATAGTAGAGGTGGGGGTGACCAGAAGCTAGGAGTGGAGAGAGTGCTGGGCAGACCCTTCTGTGTGGGGGCTGAGGGGGGAGGAACAATAGCTTAATGTTCAGAATGTGCTAAATACCAGATTACCTCAGCACAGTGTGAAAGGGCTGCTGGCTTGTTTCCTTGATTGCCAGCTTGATGGTATTAATGGGGAAAGGAAGCTTTGACGTTAGTACCTCATTAGGTGAATGGGGTGCTGAATGGCCTGAGTGTTGGACTGGAGATTGCTCCCTGCAGGGCAGATAGCACCCTGGGAAGGCACCCTGCCTGTCCCCACAGGAGGAATCTGCTAAAGCAGCATACACAGCTCACTGAGGCCTTGGCTACACTCAGGACTTGCCGTGGCAGCGCTGTGAAGCGCGAGTGTAGTCGCGCCGCGAGCGCTGCGAGAGAGCTCTCACAGCGCTGTAAGTACTCCACCTCTCCGAGGGGAATAGCGTGCAGCGCTGCACGCTCTGATTACACTGGCGCTTTACAGCGCTGTACTCGCTGCGCTCAGGGGTGTGTTTTTTCACACCCCTGAGCGCAGCAAGTTGCAGCGCTGTACACCGCCAGTGTAGCCAAGGCCAGTGTGCAGTGGCCACAATTACTCCAACGTGAAGCTGCAGAACTGGAATTCATTTGCAAACTAGATACCATCAGATTAGGCCTGAATAAAGACTGGGAGTGGTTGGGTCATTACAAAACCTAAATTTATTTCCCCAATACTAATTTCTCCCTACTGTTACCCACACCTTCTTGTCAAATGTCTGTAATGGGCCACTCTCGGGCCACTTCAAAAGTTATTTCTCCTCTCTTGGTATCCTGCTGTTAATTGATTTATCTCGTTAGACTGACTTAACACTTGGTAAAGCAACCCACATCCTTTCATGTATTTATACCTGCTCCTGTATCTTTTACTTCATACATCTGATGAAGTGGGTTCTAGCCCACAAAAGCTTCTGCCCAAATAAATTTGTTAATCTGTAAGGTGCCACAAGGACTCCATCGTTTTTTAGTTTCAGTGTAGTGATTCCTGTGGCTACAGGCTTCTCTACCTTTCAGACACTGCAGCGAAGACGCTAGCTATGCAGACAGGAGGTGTGGTCCCCATGGCAGTGGTGTGCAGTGAGTGTTTGTGCCGGAACCTCAGTGACATCTGCAGGTTTCAGTTGTGTCTGAGAGCCTGGCCCAGGTGGTGATTATGGCATAGCTGCCCCAGGCTTTGTCTCCCTGTGCTGTTGCACTGCCAGAGCAAATACAGTTGTGCAGAGGATTTGGTGGCTGACATTTTACCTCTTGAAGTATGACTTTGCTTTGGAGCCATTGCTTCTGGTAGTGCCCAGTGTGGGGCTCAGGGACCTTCTCTTAGCTTCTGTTGGTACTGATTTGCTTCAGGGAGAGGAGAGGGAGGTGCACAGCTAATCTCCAAACCCCCAAGGCCACTCCAGTGGGTTCAGCCAATGAACTCTAATGCAAATAAATTATCTCCCCACTCCCTGCCACCCCTTGTATGTGCACAGAGAGGGCCTCACCTGATCAGCTGGTGAGTGCAGGTCAGGAGGGCTTTGGGAGGAATTTCTAAGTGGCTCTGGGGAGTCCCTGTGGCCTTCCTGTTAACTGGGCTTTCTGCCTGCAGTGACTGGTGCTCTGGACAGGGAGTGGCTTTCCCAGAACAACTTTGCAATAGAGTCCTGCCAGGGAATGAAACCAAATCCCCTTTTCCTGGTTCTCCTTTCTCCAGCCCTCTCCTTTCCCTGCTCCTTCCTATCTCTACCAGGAGTTTACACAGCACCTGGAGGATAATAGCGTTATAAGGAATAGCCAGCATGGATTTGTCAAGAACAAATCATGTCAAACCAACCTCATTTCCTTCTTTGATGGGGTTACTGATCTAGTGGATGTGGGGGGAGCAGCAGATGTGATATAACTTGATTTTGACACAGTTCCACATGGCATTCTCATAAGCAAACGAGGGAAATACAGTCTAGATGAAATTCCTGTAAGGCGGATGCACAACTGGTTGAAAGATCATGCTCAAAGAGTAGTTATCAATGATTGGCTGTCAAACTGGGAGGGATATCTAGTGGGGTCCTGCAGGAGTCAGTCCTGGTCTGCTACTAGTCAATATTTTCATTAATGACTTGGATAATGGAGTGGAGAGCATGCTTATAAAATTTGCAGATGACTCCAATCTGGGAGGGATTGCAGGCACTTCAGAGGACAGGGTTCAAATTCAAAACAACCTTGACAAATCAAAAAGACAAGTGCAAAATACCACATTTAGGAAGAAAAAATTAAATGGCCAGCTAGCACTGAGAGTCTCTGCACTGAGGCTGCTGCTGTTGCTAGCATTGGTTCAGCACCCCCAGTGCTAGTTACCATGTAAATACTAGTGTGGATGGGGCACAAGGATCTCTACTGCTATGTCTATCCCTGCTCTGAGCAGATTTTCTTGCCGTGGTGGGGAAATGCCTGAGCCCTGTCTGCACCAGGAGCTTAACACCAATGCAACTGAGCTGGTGCTGCCCAACTACAGGTATTAACTCTTCTAGCATAGACATACCCTAGAGATGAGAGAAGAGCTTCATCTGCAAGGCCCTGCAGTTCCTGGCCTCTCCGCTAAGACCAGGCAACAGTACGGTCTGGGCTGTGGCTATCTGCTCCAGGGAACTAGTGCCTCCTTCAGGTACCAAACAGCTATTCACTGTTAATGCCTCTAGCGCCTTCCAGCTTGGCACAGATTACAGCTGTAACTGCACCCATATCCCAGTCTCCAAGCTGAGGAGTTAAACAAGAGCGTGAACTGAATGCTGCTTCTGGTCTTCGCTCCCCATCTCAGGAAAAAGGGTATAGCAGTAATGGGAAGAGTTGAAAGAAGGGCAACGCAAACACTTAGCAACCTGGGAACACTTCAGAAAAGGCCTGGGACTGCTTAGGTCAGCAAGGAGATAATAGGGGGTGGCATGATGGATGTGTACGAAATGATGAACCATATAGTGAAGGCTGGGGAAGTTTTCCTACTGTATATGCCCTTTCTCATGCTCTCTGGAGATCTAACTCAAAAGCAAAGGATCGCCCAATGAAATTAAAAGGCAACTAATTTAAAGCCAGTAAAAGGAAATACTGCTTTACCTGCTGTGTGACCTGAGAGACTCCCTGCCACAAGGTGTTGCTGAAGCAAAGAGCTTAGTAGGATTCTAATAAGATGAAAAATAAGAATAGCGACAGTGAACATGTTGTGGAAGGAATCTAAAGCCACATGCTTCAGGACACACAAGCTACCTGCCGGGGCTAGGAAGAAATTCTCCTAGGAAGATGTTATGCCACCCAACCCACGGCAGGATTTTTGTGTCTTCCTCTGGAACAGCTGGTCTGACCATTGCTGGAGTTGGGATACGGGGTTGGAGGGACCGTTGGGTCAGGCAGTTAATTCCTTTGTCCCTGTTGGATAAAGAAGAAAAGCTCCTCCTTCCTTGCTGGTTTCCACATGCCTCTTCTGTGTAAGCGGGAGCCACCTGACTAACTTCCAGGGCTCTCTGCCCCCTGCTGTGGCCATGGGTCTGTTGGGTGTATCCAAGGGCACAGGCCTGCAATCCTCAAAGGGCCTGGCCTCCCCTGCACGTGCTCTCTGGGA